TTTTGACTTAACTCTAAACAGTATCACCTGAAGTAAACCCCTGGTATTGTTGCTCGCTGATGTAGCTGTCCGAACCTAGAGAAGGTTAACAAACCCCCAAAAACATATTCAAGTCGTAGCACCCGAGGAAGTCCCAAATCCTACTGGTGTATGAATCTGGACGCACGTTAGGCGAAAGCCTGTTTTCGTCCTAGAAACCTGACCTGTCTTGGTCAGGGACGATTCAAAACCGTCCTTACGTACTATTCACCATCCAACCGGCCCTCGTGTGGAGCAGATTTTGCATACCCGGATTTTTGAATTCTACAAGAATCGGTTTTGCTGAAATTTGCCTACCCGACCTAGGGTTTATCCACACTCCCACGGTGTGCACTCTTTTGGAGGCATTTCAGGGATTTAATCCTGCCAGCCTCAAGATATCCACCGCCCTCCTTCGATCCTTTTCCCTTCGGATTTTCGACTCCCTGATTATAGGCTCCTCATTGTTGAGAATAAGCATTGTTCGGTTGCAGTTTCCTATCCCTTTGCTAGATAGGAGTCTCCCTCCCTGCTGAGCAAGGTTTCTTTAACATACCACCATCCCTATATCTCCTAGCCGGTTTCTTCGCTTTTGGTCTATCCACATATACTGGCTTACCTTCTGACTGTGAGCCTAAGTTAATCCCGCTAACACTTCATTGCGTGGTCACAGCTTCAGTACAGCTTTTCGGGATAGCGCTCACAATTACACTTCGTCCTGTGGCCTTCTGTTTATCGACTATTTGGGGAGTTTGCTCTTCGCCTCCCACCTTAGCACTGAAGCCAGCGCCACTACAGTCTTAAATGCTGTACACAACCACTCCAGTTCTGGGTACTTGCAGAAGAGGCTATATGTTTCCGGTTTAATTTGAGAGCACTTTTGGTGTGCCCAAGGCTTACATACATCACATGCTATTCTCCTAACCACTTTCTTTCCACATGCGGTAACCAAACAAGGAACGATAACCATAGGCATGCTACGCGGGGACTAAAAATGGTATGCAAGGAAGATGTAGGGTATGCTCTGAAAATTCAATAATTAAAAGCGACTAGTAACATTTGTACCGGAATTTAGATAAAATTCCGAGAAAAATGACCAACAAAACGCGACTAAAACTTTTACGCTTAACCTGTGCGGTTAACAAAATCAAAAAATGATACCTTACTGATATCTTCTTAATTCACGGGATGTCAGTAAATTATTATGGACAATTTATTGATGTATAAACACTGAAAATCTGTTTGATTTTCAAAGCAGCCAGGAATGCAACGGAATTCAAACGTACTGACCCTGCTGTACGTTTGCACGCGGTTTGAAACGTTGAATTTCTCTGGTTGAAAATCGTTTTGGTATTAGTTCCGTGGAATATCTTACAATATTTCACATTTTACTGACAGATAATTTTTTCAGCGTTTGTTAGGTGTGTTCACTGCGACCGCCTAAAAGCCGCATTACATATACAGCCTTCGTTGTTGGTATTTGTTTTTACTGTGTGCGTATGGCTTATTTTGGGTTCTGCAGGTGCTGTAACCCGTTTTTTATTACGTTTGTTATTGTTCGCTTCTGACATGCCCCGGGCAGCGCTTTCATGTCTCATTGTTAGCTTTGGAAAGCGCGTCGTGAAACGTACAGTGCAGGGTGATGCTCCTGTCACGCAAGAGAGAGCGAGGACGTACGCCGAAGTTCCAGCCGTGAAAAAAGGAAAAACAAATGTAGTTGCTCGGGTTTTGATTAGGAGTGTTGGTCTGAAAACGCCAAACCCAGGAAATAGCAAGTCCAATTCAGGAGGGGACGGTGCGTTAGCTACCTCCACTCCCGATCACAAACTACGTATACCGCAGCGCATAGAAGTGACTTCAAAGCTGAAATCAAAAAATCTTGTGGCTAGCTATATGAAGCCTATCCATAAGATGCAAGGTCCCACTAATTGCCTCACTTCTAACTACCAGCAGCTGGAAAAAAGGTAAGGGTTCTCAAAAGGCAAGTTAGTAACATGGAAAAGAGTGCTGCCCGTAGACTCCTGATTATGAATCGTGAAGAACCTATCATCAGGGAGTGTAAGGCCCTAAGGGACAAGGATAAGCGGCGAGTGTTCGGCGTACTGCGNNNTACTGCGAATAGCAAGGGTCCCATTCCCCATGTCTCTTAAGCGGGTCCACCGGATCCACCATCGCGAAACCCGAGGCGTCCATGATGCGGCCAATCCTAGTCGAGTTTTATAGTGAGGCCGTTAGGGATAAAGTGCTAGCCAGGGCTATATCAATAGCCCAGATAACGAAGGGCAAGTATGGCATCAGGCCGGATGACGCATCGAGAACTACACCCAGGAAACCAAGACTAGCGAACTAAGTTAGTCCTCTAGGTCGTAGAGACAGCGATACACAACGCAGGAAGGTTGGTTTGCCTCGACGGATTCCTCAACCCGTGGAGGGTCAACCGGTCACCACCGTTCCAAAAGGAGTAGTTGTAATGGAAGACTTACTGGAGGACGATACCTGGGTAAGCTGCGATCAACCAGACGACGACGTGGTTGGAAACAACAGCAAGGAATTGAGGGGTATAGTTCTAGCAACACCCGTTAGAAGAGACTTAGACGCCACAATCCGTCAGAGATCCTAGTTAACACCGCCTTTGACTGCANTCCCAAGGTACCGGAAAACTTATGTATTATGGGAAACGAAGGACGGAGAACGGAAGAATTGGTGGTATACACCAATGCATGCAGCATATGTAACAAATGGATGGAATTCTTTAAGGTGGCCGGTGAATGTAGCGCAGGGGTAGTTGCGGTCACCGAAACTTAGTTATCTAGGAATGACCACGTACCCCGAGTCTTCAAGAGCCATCTTGATTAAGGAGTGCATAAGCCATCTCGAATCTCAGGTCAGAGTATGCACTGTCACACTGATCATTCCAAAGATTTAGGTTAATATGACATGCGTCTACCGGTCCCCTAGTTCGAGTCGTTAAGAGGACATTAATCTCCTTTGCGTCCTTACAGACCTGGTGAAAGAACCCGGCAAAACTATGATGGTGGGTGATTTCAACATATCAAATATTGATTAAAAGCTTGAAACCAGCCCATCAGGAACACAGGAAGAGGCATTCCTGGAGTGGCTCCATGAAAAGGCAAAGTGGCAAAACGTAAACAAAAACACCAGATACAGGACGGGCTGCCTCCCCTCACTACTAGATCTGGTGATTACGAAGCACCCTACGGATGTCATGGAATTAAAGCTACTGCCACCGTTAGGTACGAGTGATCATGTATGCATGAAACTTACATTCTGCATGCAGCATCCGAAAGCTACCACTAAAATGGCTGGAAACTTTGGAACCATGAACGTGGATCTCCTCCGTAGTAGAGTGGCCCAACTAGCCTGGGACGACGAAGTTCCCAGCATCGAAGGGCTATGGGGAGTAATTAAGCAATCGTTGCACATACTCCAAGAAGAATTCGCACCATGGAAACCCAGACGACACCTTACCAAACCGATCTGGTGGCGAGCGGCTATGAACAAGGCCATCAAGCGTAGAAACCAGAGTTGGCGCTTGTACAAAATTTCCGGGAGCCGCCTAGCTTGGACGCGCTACACAGCCCTCAGGAACGCAGCGGTCGAAATGGTGCGAACAGCAAAACGCAACTATGAGCTTATGCCTGCCAAAAGCGCCAAGAATCATGCTAAGAAATATTACGGGTATGTGAAATTCGAATGAACATTCACGGATGGCGGGGGGCCGCTGAAGACCGGGGGGAATCCGTTGATGCGGAAGACAACAGCAAGGCGGACACACTAAGTGTCTAATTTAACAGTGTTCATCGTACGGACAACGGCTCACGCGCAACCTGTTTACACGGTAACTCCTCCGGTAATTATCGACGATTTGCATCTAACGGAGGACATGGTTAGGAGCCATCTAGAGAGCTTAAATATAAACAAGTAGGCTGGTCCAGACGGTATCCACCCAGCCATTGTGAAACCATTACCGTGTATCTTAGCTCTACCACTGTCAACTATTTAAGCTAAGCCTAGAACAAGGTATTCTACTACTGGACTGGAAAACAGCCGCCGTGGTAGCTATACATAAAGGAGGGTCCAGGTCAGAAGTAGTCAACTACAGGCAGGTAAGCCTGACTAGCATTCTTTGCAAGATGCTGGAAAGGATCATCAGGGCTCATATCTGTAAACATTTAGTGGACCCTTCTATGCGGTGCCCTGCTCAGCATGGGTTCCTGAGAAAGTGTTCGTGTCTCACCAATCTCTTGTGCTTTCTAGATGAAGTAACTCGTAGGTTGGACGAAGGCAAAAGCGTAGAAGTATGCTACCTAGACTTCAGTAACATCACTAGTGGAGTACCTCAGGGATCGGTACTGGGACCCATCTTATTCTTACTGTTTATAAGTGACCTAGCCGTAACGCTCCAGTCACCTAGCTTCTTCCTCGTGGACGATGTAAAAGTTGTAGGATCAGAGGGGCGATAGGAGCTGGCCAAGGATATTCCTTCAGTCCTAACCTGGGCACTCAAGTGGGATTTGCCACTGAATGCTGTCAAAAGCCAACTATTATCGCGGGCGTAGAGGGTGTCCCAGTTGGCCACGAGGTAGGTGCCTTTACTATGGAGGCAGCAGAAACTGTAAAAAACCTAAGAATCTTGGTAACCGCTGATCTTGGGTGGTTTAATAAGTGTTCCAGAGCGGTACAGAAAGCTAGGGGTGAGATATTCAGACCAAGGTCAGCGTTGCCGTGCCGNCCGTAAACCTGAAGTATTCATACCTCTGTACAAGACAATAGTAAGGCCCCACCAGGAGTATTATGTCCAGGCATGGTTACCCTACTTCAAATGCCGCCTGTTTAGAGTCGGTTCAACGGCTGGCAACGAGAATGGTTGAGATTCAGCGTGGCAAAGAAAGCAAGCAAAGGCTTCAGTGCCTGGGACTATTCTCTTTAGAAAAGAGAAGGCTTTGGGGAGATATGATAAATCTATGATATGAAATAGGTTTATCTGGGTTTTAGACCAGAAACCCCATTTCAGGAAACGCTAGATTTCCGTACAAGGGGACGCGGAATGAAGCTGACCAAGGCCTGGTCTCGATTGATTACCCGGTCACACTACTTTAACAACAGGGTAGTCAAAATTTGAAACAGACTACCTATAGAGTTGGTAGAACTGCAGACGGTGCTAGCATTCAAGACGGCCCTGGACGAACGGTGGTCTGAACTTTTTCCCGAGGTCTAACCATCAATTTAGCACTTTAAGAAAACCAGTTTAGGATCGACACACTCAGGTTGCATTTTCTTTATTTCATCCTTCTATTTCTTGGGAGGTAGCCCGGGAGATAAACGCTCACGAATAACAATCTCTCGCCTTGGAGGTGAGATGAGGTGTCTTTCTCTTTCCTCCCCTTTTCAGGAAGTTACTGACTACTTTTCGCAGTGGTGGGTGCCACACTTGACCGCATACCCCCGAAGGAATTCTGGACGCTTGATTGGCCTGTGGCCACTACCAGTCCCGTGCAACCTGACCTGACCTGGCGCGCGCTTCGAATTTTGGAGTGGAACGTTTCGCTGTTGAATTAGGTCGACAATAAGTAGAAGCAACACTCGAGAGTCCTATTTCCTGTTGGAACATTAGCGGAAGCGCAATTTATACCGGACCTTCCGCGCTGGAGATCGGAACTCTGAATCTGGGAGCCACAACTGAGCGGAACTCGGGTGGCAGGGCCAACGTGACGAATTCTTGTCCAGGTGAACGATTAGGGTACAACATTTACCGCGGAGACTACTACCCAGAGTAAATTATCATTGTTTTTTGTCGCTTTTTTGTAGGGTTTTTATCTTTACACACCCCTTTAACTGGACATATTCTTGAAGCTTATCTAGACAAGTGCCATGGTATCTCAGAGAAAACCTCCTCAAAGAGCTACACGAGCCAAACAGGTAATTATACCCTACCCATGTGCCAGAAAAGAGTGTTCTCTCGAGTTGGTTGAGGGTGTACGTCGTGATCTGTGCCAGGATTCGTTTCACCAATGGTGCAGTAAACTAATGTCCAAGGCAGTTGGACATTATGCTGTCCAAAAGTTTCTGAAATGGGTTTGTCCAAACTGCACCAGCTCTATTTGAATATCCAGGGCGAAAACACTACTCCCGAAAGAAAACTCTCTTTCACAGATAGCAGTGCAAGCTCCTCCGTGTAACTCGACCCCGATCAGGCAGATAAGCAGAAGTAACCCCGATTTAGGGACCCTGATGCCTGGGGAGGGGAACCAGTCAGGAGTAGTTAATGACCGGGAATGGATTTTAGTGGGGAAGCCTGAGCCTGATGACCAAACAACTATGTCAGTGGCACCCTGAGCCGTGACGTAAAGTCCATCCCTAAGGCACGCAATGCCAAATCGGCAACCGCAGGGATTAGTGTGCAGGTAGCCGAAAACGGGCAGGGAACCAACAAGGCTACTCAGTGTCACTTGCCACCATGGAAAGGAACACTTGATGCACGAATGGACGCTCACGAAGAGGCCATTGCAAAGCTCTTCGAAATCACCACCAGCCTGAGAGACTCCCTGCATAGGCTTCAGGCCCATACCAAAACAGTCCTAGGGAGAAACAGAAATGTCGATATTGGAGGCATCCCAGAGCCGTTTTGTAGAGAAACGCGCAGCCGCAAGCAAACGCTCCTACACCAGGTGAAAAACATAATCCGGCTCCCTCAAATTCCCTCAGAGGTACAAATCAAGCGAGTTTTGCGCATTGTGAAGTGGCAAGGCGATCAACGTGCACTTAGCGCTTTACCACCTTGACCAACCCTTGTAGAACTTCATAACCTGAGGCACCGGGACTTGTTGTTGGCAGCTTCCGCCAATGTGAAGAAGTTGACCGAAGAACAGGTAACCATAGGGCCGGACTACTCCCGCGACCACAAAACAAAGGCCTCACCTAGCTGCAGGCAGCAATTTAGCACCAAGCTCCTATCCGTCAACGTGGTCAGAGTGGGGCACAAGATTCAGCACAGGAAAACGACCCCCGCTCCTAGGCCTGCCCGAGGGATGAATCTCTAGGGCACCAAGACCACAATAGGGTGGTGGACCCGCAGGGAAACTCCACCACTAGACTGGAGGTAAAAACCTGGAGGTCACCCGGAAGCAACTAGCGGGTGCAAGCCCTCAAAAGCAATAGGAGATAAAAGGGCGCAGGCTCTCAGTGTTTACTACACTAACGCCTGCATCCTAATGAACAAGTGGACCGAGCTCCAGTCTGAGGTTGATCAAACGCACTGCCTCGCCATAATGGAGACCTCGCTCGAGTCTGAATTTCGTATCGCGGGTTTCTGTCCACCACGATTCCAGGCTTATCGCTGCGATCGTCCAGGGGATAGGTTGGGGGGTGGTGCTTTACTGCTTGTGACTGACCACTTTTTTCAGACGGCCCTGGATACCCTGTGCACGGAGAACATTCAGGCTGCCGGGTGCGTAATCAAGCTCTCGGGTGTAAGGTTAGCATTCCTGTGCATTTATCGTAGCCCAAGCGCAGGCATCGACGAAAATTAGTTGCTCATAGATTTTCTCCGGCACACAACAACCCGGGTAAGTAGGGTTCTTGTCTTGGGGGATTTCAATGCTCCTGAGATCGAATGGGAGATGGAGTATGCGCCAGTGGGCAGCTTTGGGGATGAGCTACTAGAGGTGATGCACGAATTGGCGCTCACACAGCACGTCACCGATCTCACCCGATGGTGACTGTGTAACTCTCCCAGCACCTTAGATCTTGTGTTTACTAAAAGCAGGAATGCATCAGGATCACTGCCACAGGTGTACCGCTAGGCAGAAGTGACCACGCTAGTATCCGGTGCCAATACGGCTGAGCTCTTCCGCTTGCTCAAGTCAAATTGAGGTGACGCTATGAGCGCATGAATACCGAATCTCTCCAGGATGCGGCTTGAGCCATGGTCTGGTCATAAGCACACTTTGGGACTGTGAGGTCGTGGGATTTGATCAGGGATAACCTGCTGACTCTCACCAATAGTTTCGCGCCCCTGTATCCCGTTTAGGTCGCGGACCA